TTTGGTATGATGGATTGCTCAAGTGTCGCCTTTGCTAGATCATTCCCTAGCCCACTGTTCAGCACGCCCTTGTTAGTCTTTGCATGACTAAGATCAGTGCCAGTATATCACGGAGTCCGCGACGGTCATACTCTTGCGCTCGTTCAGTGGGAACATGGTGGCTTTAGCCCGAAGAATACCATGACGTAGAGAGACGGCAGTAGTATTGAAGTCAGTGCGAGCGCTGACGAGTGCCAGGCATCAGGAGAGATTTACAAGCGGAGACTAGTGATGGTGGGCAGATGCAGCTGCGTTGTTCAATGGTCGGTTTGATCCGCAGGTGTACTCTCCGGGAACCGGACCGAGTTATGATGGTTTTTGGTCTCGACCCGGAGACTCGAGGCAGAAGATCAGCTCCCTGTCAGCGCGGTGGCAATACACGGCTTCTCGGCTTCGCGGAAATGAAGGGATGAGGGCGTTCTGTGGGACATTCTTAGCAGTCGGTGAAGTTCGGGCCGAGCTGCGAAGAGCGCCTTGGACGGTACCACCACATTCCCTTTGTCCACCATACTCATCTCGGAGACTGATACGTGACATCAATCTACTTAAGCCTCTCGACCCTCTTGCACGATGGCGTTCTCGAGTAAAAAATCCATTAGCCCGGCCCGATTCAGCCGCACAAACTTGCGATATTCGTCTTCCGGTCTCGACCGGACATTGTCTTGCACACAAGAGACAGCATCCGCCGCAGTCCTGCCTGGTTTTCCACTCGTCTTTGAAGCGCTCGAGCGTATGTAGCACGGTGCATGATGACTGCCGCGCCTCACATCGTACTCGCTCATCGCAGTTACTACGTCGCGGCTACTCTGTTGCTCCACGATCTCAGTCCTGCTTTGGCTCCGCGTGCGTAGTGGCGGCCCCAATCATAGGGGCTTGAGCGCTACGCCCGCTGTCACATTTTGCGAACCCATTAGATGTTCGCTGACGAGGTGCTTGATGAAGGGGTCAGATCGGACATGCAATCTTCAGCCTCAAGACTTCTGCGAATTCAGTTATTCGGGTGCGCGCGGGGCTGTTTTCCCGCACCAACATGTTTCATGCACTCCGTGTATTCCGCCCGTACGATACACGCCATGTTTTCCATCCGTCGTAGCCTGACATCCGGCTACGTGCAGAAGCGCCAACGTGGCGCGAACTAGTTGCATGTCCATCACACATCTTCACACTGGAGTTTGCACAGTGAAGAAGTTCGAACTTGTAAGCTATATGTGCCAGGGGCTGCTAGAGAAGAAGTGAGTGTATCTTCCGTGATCTCCGTACTCTTTCCTGTAGCAGATCCCTTGGTCATATGTGTCTGGTAGAAGACTCTCGATGACACTAGGGGGTTGTGCATTCGTACAAACATCCAGCGAACCAGCAGGCGTCTATTGCACATAGCGCTTGTCTGGATATTTCATATCGCGCCCCGGGAGTTGCTGGATTCTTCTTTCGACAGAGCCGACTTTGATGGCTGAAGGGCTGTGCAGAGTAAGCGCCGCAATGTAACGAAAGCCCAATTCCCTTCTCCCCATCATCTCATTCGCCAACTAGTGCGGGCCCTCCTCCCTGCGCTTCCTTATCATTTCAACTAGCTCATAGCTGTCTTTTGGCGTATATGAGATGACGAAACCGGACCCGCAGGAGTCACCCGGGCCTTCAAGCACGCGTCTAGGTGCGTCAGTTGCTTTCGTCTGGCTTCTCACCGTCTCATTGATATCGAAGGTGGTCAAGTCGTTTATACTGGATTCCGGTCGTTTTACCGAAGCCTACGTGGCTCTAATCTGCCCGTCGCCACTCCAACTCCTGCTGCACTTCCAAGGGATATGAGTAGTGGCGAGACAAGCAGTGCGAACCCCGCCGCCGCCGCCGCCCCCACTCATCAAAACAACTCATTTGACCCAAACGCGCTACCCGGTGTTGAACGCGGACCAACCTACGATCCACCCCCATCCTTGCTAGCCAAGCTCTCAAAACTCTTGAAATCTGTGTCGGGAAAGTAATATGGTGCGGAGCCGTCTTCCCAACACTACCCAAACCGTCTTCTAGAGACTTCGACAGGCCGCACCACACTTCCAAGCCCTCGCTCTCCCATGATTACGTGCGCGCCGTGCGCACGGATATTGCCTTCAACGCAAGAACTTCTTCTTCTGTAGCGCATATCCAGGTCAAGTGTGGTGTCCTCAAGAGAACGGAAGGGAATTTAGTGTTCGGCTTCACGGCAGCACGTCTATTGAATAGAACAATACAGCCTGCGCCGTTATGAATCATGTTGAGATGTCGAGCCACCGTATTGCGGGAGAGGTAAGATCAGGGTGCACATGGTATTCGAAAGACGTAGCAGGACGCTATATAGCACCACCGTCATGAGTAGACCCGCGAGTCAGAACGCTAACTAGCGAGAGACCCGATAGGTCGATGCACATCATGCCCTGTAGCCGTGTCACTCAGGACCAGTCTAGTCAAGATCATTTGTAGTTCATGTCTCGCATGACTTAGGGTGCATCCTGGGGACAGGAGAGAACTATGGGTTTGGAAGAGTACACTGACGGAAATAGGGCAAGGAGTCGAACAAGAGATTGTTCAGAAGGCATCTGTAGGTACCAGGAGTGCGGGTATCGAGAGCCTATCTAGAAGTGGAAACGTGTGATCGAGAATGAGACTTCGAGGATCTGTAGGAGACCGTACTAAGGACGGGAACGAGTATTTCACGCCATGCCCGCAGCGCTGTACCACTTCTCGATGAGGAGAACGCCAGACGTATTGCTGCTGCTACCAAGACGCTCTTCCTCTGTGATGTACGCTCCGCTGCGCGCCCGCCTCTTCCCCCTGGGTAACGAATGCGCCTGGGAGGTTTGTACACTGCGCTCAACCTGAGGCTCATTCAAGCCTGGAGAAGTCGGCGATGCTCGCAAGGTCTCGGAGCGCGTTGATTGCGGCCAAACTAATACCTCTGCCATCGGGGAGCGTCGAGCCCAACGCCATTGCCCTCATTGACACTTGAACGCTTTCCTGACTGAACAGGTCGCGTAAGGAAGTCGAGGCGAAGGGCTTGGGCCCGACGCCTTTCGGATCGTACAACCGACGCCACTCCCACATCCCTGGCGTGCCTCTGCGAAGGTAATTCGACTCGGGCTTCTCCCAATCGACTGACGGGCGCCAGTCGCAAAGTTTCACGCCCTCCAACAGCGTCAGCGCAGTACGGGACCCGAGTTCGAACCGAGGATCGTTGGACTTGTCCAGGAAGAGATCTTCGAGATCCTCGTGATCGTTCGAAAGCACGGTGTGCAGACGGAGAGTCTCGACAGCGTTGAGCGCCGCGAACATAAACCGTATGTTCGTCCTTGCAACGAATCCTGGCTGATCGGGAGCGCACGGGTGTCCCTGAATGCTCCCCAGCGCCTGGATGAGCGTCCAACGGAAGCTCGCTATTGCCGCGTGTAACGCAACATCTTGCTGGCGCAGTGCTTCGGCGTTAAGTTCACCTAGCCGTCGGGCGAACGAAGGGAAGACCTCGAGAATGGGACCCATGTATACCCAACGGAAGTCCTGGTTGGTATGCGTCTGCGACTGGTTGTCCGCATATGTTTCCGCCGAAAGAAGCATCTGCAAGAACCGGATCGATCCTAAAGCGGCGAGGACCGAATCTACGTCACAGAAGAGACCCACGAGCTGGGTCATGACGATACTGCTGTTTCGCAGTCCGACGAAAAAGTTGGCGACGCCTTGGTATCGAAGGCAGAGCAGGCGGCGTGATAAGTACCGTAGTGCGCTGGGGCACTTCAGTAGGTGCTGGTGTGCGCGGGTCGATAAGAAACCCATCTCCTTGCCCTCGATAGCCTGTGGTCTCTGCGGAGGCTCAAAAGTACGGCTGATCAGCCGATCAAGCTCCTCTGCAGATCTCGAGCGAATGATCCAGACCAGGATAGGGAGCAGGAGTTGCGCGGAACGCACGGGATCTTCTAGGAACACTCCGACGTGTCGAGGATCAAGATCTTGTAGAGTGATGTGCTTCTTGGAGATCCAACTTCGCACCGCAGCACATACGCTCACAAGATACATCAGAGAGCACGTAATGAGCATCATCGAGTTGTAAGTGACTGCGAACAAGACGAAGCTCAGCGGGGTGTAGTAAGGGCTCCTCGAGTCGATGAACGGCATGAGGCTGGCGATGATATAGAACACGGAGGCCATCCCCGACAGTGCCACGACGGCAAGAGCTGGCGTCGAATGGGCAGGGAAGAGGGACAGCGAGAGCCCCACGAGGAAGAGAGCGACGGCCAGCTGTGTCATGCCCCCAAGGAACGTTGCGAGCCTGTCTAGGCCGTACCGCTCGAGAGACGTGTACACGCGCAGCCGTTTGAGACCGTATTGCTCGATGGTCCCCATCGCGAGGCGTGTTTCTTTCCTCACGGAGTCCCTCAGCCATTCCTGGATCATCATGGCAAGCAGAGCGCTTAAGAGCGAGGTAACGAGACTGAGACACCAGAGTGTATTCACGACCATCGCAGTATCAGTCGGGCGGAACGACCCTCTCTCGACCTCTGGCACAGGCGTCGTGTTGGTCGATAGCACTAGTTGCTCCAGCAGGGCGTTTGTACGAGCGGTTGCGCCAGTCTCCCGCACATTCGAATCAGAGAGGCTAAGGGAATGTTGGCTATCCACGAGAAACATCGCGACTGTGGCGGTGAAGACGGTGGACTGTCGAGGCTCGTCAGAGAAGGTAGACAAGGCATGGGCTAGACAGAACGAACAAACAGTAAGATCTCGTTCATGGCTGCTTTGCCATGCCGTACGACTTCATCCCGCTCGACCCTCATGGTCTGCAGAAATACGTTCCAGAGCCCGTCCCCCTCCGCTTCGTGAGGACCCGACTCCTCGAAGTCCTCCTTTCCTTCACAATAGGCCATCGTGGCTGATGAAAGTCCAAGGTGGTCGTGCTGATAATAACGCTGAATATGCGACGGCGGCGGAACAGAAGAGCGACAGGGTTCAGGCCGCATTCATATAAGTATGCCCGACATGCTTCTTGCATAGCATCGTTCCCGCGGTTGATCCGTTAATCACGGCTTCTCCAGCATAGAGGCTGCGATTTCCTCCGCTGTGAGAATGCGAACCTTTATGCATTATGTCCAAGGCGAGCGAATACATTTGAATTCTGAGCCACGGTCGTCAACATGGACTCGGATAAGAGTATACAGACACGACCCGAACGTCTGCGAGAACATCCTCCGACTCATTCGAACAGACAGGTACTGTATCTCCTACAGCGTCTGTAGTGAACAGTACCAATGCCGTGTTTTGGTGAATTCGCCTTCCATGGTTCAAGTTGACAGCGCACCTGGCCCCCGTGGCGGCGCGCGGCGGGGATCTACCACGAGTTGCCGACACCACGCGCTAAGCGCTATGGCGGTTAGAACTTTCGGAAGCGCGGAGGTGCGCGCACGCGCGCTCCGATCTTCCGAACGTTCTGACCGCCATAGAGCTAGCGTCGCCTCCACTTCCCGAGGCTATGACGGCGTGCTGATGCTCCGGACACATCTATGTCCGACACTTGAAGCTTGAAGCTTGGTACTCGAGGTGTCATGAACAGGAGAAATGATATAGGTTGGCTACGCTCGTTAAGCAGCTCAGGTCCCCACGTACGTAAGTAACCTCGCCAGTCTGACAATCAGTAAAGTAGCAATCCGAAGCCCAGAAGCACAACAGCGTGGAAGTGGTGATAGCGTAAAGTGTGACAATTCGTATAGTAAAGTAGTCCATGAAGCGAACAAACAGCAGATGCGGCGATCGCGGTGGCACCATCATCGAGCGTTCAAGCACCCTTCTTTCCCCAAGCAGTCCGACATTGCCCGCCAATACACTGTTCCTTCCGATCGGCACCCATCGTAGCCTGCCTTAGCAAATGGTCCCCCCGAACCCTGCCCGCTAGACAACTCAACAACCCGTGCCACAGCTGAGCAACACGCGTCGATAGGCGATTGTAGTCGACGGAGCTTAAGTGTGGGATGTCCCTCTTTTGCAGGTGGCGTGTAACGTCCGGGACGATGCCTTGGTAGTAGCGAGAGTAGTAGAGGGGCCAAATGAATGCCTCGTTCCGAAAGAGGGCCTGCGCGACTGCTCCGAGTTTGTGAATTATGGGTGGCGCAACATCTGCGGCGGCAGGCTAGTCGTCTCGCGGCAGATGTCCGCGGTGCATTGGGCGCGGAGCGGCGCGAATGTAGAGCAGTCGACGAAGACATGATGCGCATCGGCCGGGAGTGTGGTGCAACCGTACGTGCACACCGGCTCGCGGTCGTGGAAATGCGTCACCAGGAGGTCAGCAGTGGCCAACTGCGACGAGCGAGCGTACAGCTGGACCGCGGCGGAGAAAGTGTTAGGCGCGCGTGTGTACGGGTACGCTGGATGGTTGTGTTGGTCGTATAGGGCGGGTGACATGGAGCGGGCGGGAGCGAAGGTACGAGGCCGGGCGGCGATCTGCGCGAGGAAGTGAGTGATTAGCGGCACGAGCGCATGCTCGATGTAACCGTCGCGAGGGGTGTAGGGCATGTACGTGTCCATGGTTAAAGTCGGGACGGGTAGAGATGGTGTAGCAAATGGTAGATGGTGAGAGGATGAGGCATATGTATCTGCCTGGGCATTCGCACGGGAGGGTGAGGAGGTATCAGCTGTATGAGCGCGAACGGACTGGAGTTGTAAGGGCCGATGTGATAAGGGTGAAGATGACCGAAGGGTACGAAGCCAGTGGTAAAGAGAGCGACCCTGGATATCATCGAGGCGACGGGGTTCGAACGTGGGTACGGCGAAGTCTGAGATGAGGCGTACGGAGTTCTGATGGTCGGAGTAGAGGATGGTAGGCGTGGTAGGGTTTAGGAGAGCGTGAAGTACGTGCGCTACGACAAGGGCATAGACCTCGCCATGAAGAATAGAGCAGGGGTGATGGAATAAGCGAAGGGACGCGGTGAGGGCGTGATTCTGTGTAACGACCGAGAGAGTGACGGAGCGTGGATCATGTAATGCCGCCGTAGCTGGTATGCACGATGCATCTGATGCCGCAACCCCTGTTAACTCGTCAGCAAGTGGTAAGCGGGGTGTGTTCGAGTATTGTGACAGGGCGGTGATAAGTGCTTCGGCTTCAAGCCGTCGCACGGTACAGGGAGTAGCGAGAGATGGGTCGGCGTATGCAATGCCCGAGAGCGAGAGCGTGTCAAGTAAGGTGTGAATGCGGGCTTGTTGGATGGGGTTATAATGATCATTCAGTAATTGGTGTGCAGGCGTGTTCATTTGGAAGACGTAGGGGAGAGCCGGAGCGGGATGTGGAGGGATTTGCCAACTACCAAAGTCCTGTAGAGTTGCCAATCCACGGGCTGACAGGCTACGGAGAAGGGATGGGGAGATACATTGAGACGGGTAGGAGGTTGCAAATGTGAGTAAGGAATCCATCGCCCGAGAAGAGGTGATCCTGATTCGTGCAGCGTATAAACATTCCAAGGTCCCGAAGAACCGTGTGCGCAATCAACCACTGCGTCGGTATCTTTCCATACGAATGGGTGAACGAGTGCGAGCCTGGCCCCGCGCGCGACTCCACGTCAAGCGGCGAGTGGTACGCACTGAGATCTCACGCCCAGTCCGCAAGAGTGAGGCGAGCGATCAACCTGAATGCTTCGAGCGGATGGTTGAGGTCGCGGAAGAGTCCTTGAACCGCATATGCCGCATTGAGGTTGGCGATGGACGGGAAGTCGAACCCGTGGCAGTATAGCAGAAGGAAGAGCAAGGGAAGCCAAGGCAGTCGTGTACCTTCGTCGCTATCAAACGTCCAAGGGCATCGGCGTCCTTCCTGAGCAGCGGCTGGAAGGCAAGCTTAGGGCGGATGGATACGACGAGTCGCGGGGTAATGAGGCCTGAGGCGGCGGATGACCGTCAGCGGTAAAAGTTTGAGTGTCCGTGGGATCGCGAAGTTCTCGATGGCGTAGTACGAGCTACCATCCTGCTTGGTCTGGAGGTTGATGGAATCCCTAAGCATGACTTGCATGGCGAGATCCCCATCTATCTTCAGATCGTCCAGAAGTACAATAGCGAGAAACTGGCGGTCGAAATTTGGAGTGGGTTCTCTGAACAAGAACCGGAATAGATCCGACGCGCTGACCGTCGGCGACACGGCGCGATGAGTAGTTGTGGCGTATAGAGGTGGTATTTACGGGCAACTGGTGTAGTGGTCCTCACCATCCCTGCTTTCCAGAGGATTGGAGGGGGGGTTCGATTCCCGACGTTGTCATATGAGAAGGTAGTGGGATTTTTTTGCAAGGTTTGAAAGACATTTACTTTCATTCACATCAATGTCAAGCAAACACCGGACGTATGTGGTACACAATCGTGTCTATTTGGCTGCCTTCTTTAGCATACGCATCATTGCTGGGAGGGAGTCTCACAGTAAAGATGCTACTACAATTGGCCTTTGCCACATGTGCCTTTCTCCTACACAGCCCACGGAGACCTCCCCGGAATCGCGCCGGCCATTCGCCAAGGGAAACATCAGGACTGGATTGCTGTACATTATGCAATTCGTGCCCGGTACGGGTTCTATACCGGTCTCTCGCATCTCATTCCAAGTACCTCAGACGGCGCACGCGCGAGGTCCTGCATCTTCTGAAATGGCAACAGCCAGGGCCATCGCGGAAAAGTTGCGAGTGATCGATGACGTAGCGTTGTTTCGGCGCTTGGGCAGTGGCTCCCCGCCGCTAGTTCCTTTCTCGAACCAACCTCGAACAGAAACAATGCGGTGAATGCGTATGCATGTTAGAGAAGGGCTACTTCGTCGATGCATCCGGTCTTTCGCTTTCGTAGTAGCAGTTCACCACCACGCATGAAGATCTCCTGAGCCCGCCGGATGCAAGTTGCGAGTTTGTTCACAACGCTGCAATGAACCTGCTGGGGGGTGGGGGTTGCGGCATATTTAGAGTGTCCGCTACCGTTGAGTAAGGATATGGCTTAGGTACGTGTAAACGCCGCGGTCGACGGAAGCGCGTTCTTGTGTGGTGATAAAGCCACACGAGGGCCGGGCGCGGGCAGAAGCGGCATCGGCGTGCTCGCTACGTCGCGAGCGAGACCAGCAGGACTTAGGAGCGTCATTCTGCGTCTTCTGCCTGGGTTTGCGCGATCCGCGCGGCCTGGTCGTGGGCGGCTTAGCCTTGGGCCCTGCCGACGTCGCGAGCCGAGTGGTGGTGGTAGCCGCGGGCATCGATTCGGCGTCGCACGCAGGAATTCTTAGAAGAAAAAGTCGATTTTCTTCGTTTGCACCCGGTTTGACGAAGCCTGTTGGATACGTGAGTCAATCAGCAAGTAACTTTGTGAAACCCACACTTACAAATATTGTTATACAGAGTCACAGGCGAGACTATCTTGATTTTGGGCTTAGTTGCCGCCGTCGACGACGCGACCGAAAGCAAGGCATCTGAAGGGGACGGCAGAGGACGACCGCCGGATACAGGGCTCTTGGGGACAATGATGCACTCGCGGCCGAATGACAGGGGTGCATATGCAGTCACCCAGGTAGGGTATCCAGGAAAGTAGTCGGGCTCGCCGTGGTTGAAGTCGTTGATGAGCGACAACCGCTCAGCGGACTTGGGAAGTCTGCACCCAGTTGTGTTAGCCACTCCCCGCTAAGATGTGCTATCATCAACGGCGTGCCCTGGCAACCGACCATACACATGAATACTCCATTGTCCGGCCACACCTTCTTCAAAATGGAAGTTGTAGAATCCAGCCACTTCCGATGTCATGTGTGGAAGAGAGGTGCTAGCCGACACCTTTCTGAGTCGGCCCATGCCTCATAGTCACGTCAGCGCCTTCCCCTCATGCACACTTGTCATCGGTGGGACTGGATGCATAGCAAAGATATAAGCTGATTAGAGATGAAGTTGCGAGCCGCTGGAGACCGCATGCAAGAACATTTGGGCCGAAGAACGCGCAGGCAACGAGTAGTAACAGTACGGTTAAGTATGTGTGAGTTCCAAAGAGAACAACCACAGAAGGGAACGGACGCCGACTGCTCCCACCATAACCACTGTATACAGAGCCTTGCGCAGAGTGCACTGTCAATGTGCGGACACGCTTCGTCGAGGGCAGCTTCCCAGTCGTCGACGACGTTGAAGACAAGACAAGGTGCGTCGCTCTTCAGACTCCCGCAAGCCTCCGCGCCGCGCCCGATGCGATCAGTCATGAGTAAATGTGCTGACAAGGACAACATCTGGTATTGCTACATGAACTAAAGGTACTATAAGCACGCGGTATATCTAAGCTAGCTGCTAGAGTGTACGACGACAGGTATTAGACACAAGGCGCGGAAAACAATATTGGACAAGAGGATATAACTATGTAGCAACTTCGTCGAGCTTCGACGTCTCCAACAAGCGTAATTTCGCATGGAGGCCGCGTGCTCAATCCAATTCAATGACAGCATCGTCGTCGTCGACCTTCTCATTCTGCTCTTCTAGCAATACGCGTTCGTCTTCTTCCAACGGACGGCGCTTGTTCGATGTGGCGGGTCCGGATGGTAAACCACGCGCGACCTTCTTCGCCGGCTGGCTCGACTCGATATCATCATCGGGAGCTCCCCGCTTACCGAGTGAGGCAGCGGACGACGCTTCTACTTTTGGCGCGGGCTTCACTGGGCGCTTGGCCGGTGTGGGCATCGGCGAGGGTAGGATCATCGGTGGTGCGTCCGCGGGGTGGTCATACCTGTACAGAGCTTTAGCGGGCGTACTCCACGCGAGAATGAGAAGGAAATAACGTGCAGTAATATCGCAATTCCTAGCGATATGGGCTGATACACGCCATCTTCATCCTGAATGGTAAGGAATTTTGCACGCGTAACACCCAAACTCTCGAGCGTCCTCCCGAGATTATCATCGAAATCAGGGTCACTGAGTAACCTCTGCCCCTCATAGGTGCTGACTTCCGGCGCCTCCATGCTGACGTCGCCGTCACCGTCACTTGTGGTACCCCACCGGATACCAGCAGTAACAGCTTCTACGACCTGGCCGAGTGTTACGCGTGTGGGATCGCATCGTAAGAGCCCATACGCGTCGCGACACACCCCGCAGGTGGGGATTGGCGGGACCTTGATACCAGGAGTGAGAGGTTTTGTGGGCTTGAAGAGGATATGGACGTCCTTGAGCGCATTATAAGACTTGCGTAAGACGTGTAACGCTTGTAAGACGATCAAACCCGACGCGATCGCATTGGTTGTTGCAATCGCGGGGATAATGCTACCCGCCATCTCTGCACCCAGATTAGATGTCACGATACGTATGTAGAAGAACGGGGTGCGAACCTTTGACCTCCCATCTACTCTTGCCGGGGATCCCATAAGCAGCAGACCTCAGGTTCGCTACAGAGGTGACAAAGTCAAGCGTGTCGTCATCGTCCTTGTCAAAGGAGATGGTCTCTTCGCCGGCCTGTACACGTACGGCAAGTTTCTGCGTGCTCGCTACAAACATCTCCCAGCTATCACGCAGGGACAATGAGGGCTGCTCCTTCAGCTTAGCGCTTGCGCTAGTCGAAGCTCCATTGGAAGCTCCGTTA